CGTTCACACATTGGTTTGCTAAGGTTAGTCTGGTTCCTCAGCAGGCCCAGCTCAGTCTAGCCTTCCCTCTGCCCTGAAACACAATGTTCTCTGCATTATCTCGGCTTGGGTAAGATTCATGGAGCACTCACCAAGAACCTATCACAGACTGGGTGTTCTCACATACAATGGCTAATAGCCACACATCTTCTAAGGATTCATAGTGGGCATAACAGGATCAACCGTGCGTCTCTCCAACTTTAGGACTTATTGTTAGACCATTTTTGAACTGGACTTGGAAACTGTTTGTGTGACATATTTCATTTCCTGACTAATACGTTCTCGTTCTCTCTCTCTCTCTCTCTCTCTCTCTCTCTCTCTCTCTCTCTCTCTCTCTCTCTCTATTCCTTCCTTTTTCTTTTCTTTTTTCCCTTTCCTTTCCTCCTCCTCCTCCTCCTCCTCCTCCTCCTCCTCCTCCTCCTCCTCCTCCTCTTTCTTCTTCTTAACAGGGTTTCTTTACATAGTCCTGGCTGTTCTGGAACTCACTATGTAGATGAGGCTGACTTTGAACTCAGCCTGCCTCTGCCTCCACAGTGCTAGGATTAAAGGCCTGCGCCACATGCCTGGCTAACCAATACCTTTAATCATCTGCTTTATAAACTCCACTCCCAATTCCACAGCTCATCCTAAATCCTTGTTTTACTGACTCCCAGCTCCAGTGGCCACTTATTTCCTCTCAGTTCCAAACACCGCTTGTATCATGTGGCTCATCAATATACTGCAGATGATGGCTGTCTTGCCCAGACTTCTGGACACTGCAGATCCTACCTTCTCCAATCCCAGAACCTACGGGCATATTCTGCTCTTTCTTCCTCCTACATCTGGCCCAGGCCCATTTTATTCTCAGGCTGAGAAACTTCCTCTGTGCTTCCTCAGCTACTCTCTCTCTGTTTATGCCCATCATCAGCCAGTTGCCCTGTAGGAGGGCTGACTCCCCACCCCTGCCCCCTTCACCCATGGTCACAGAAGGGATCCACAAAAATGTTTCATTTGAATGTTTTCCAAATCAGCAGGAAAAAAAATGAAGACAATAAAAAGATTTTGTCTTCATGATATTGTGATCATGACAGAGTTTAATTTTGATAGAGACAAGGATCAGCCATGGCAAGAGTCATCTTACGTGGAGGTGATTCCTTCCCAGACACTCTCTACCATTCCTTCCTGGGTCCTATCCTTAGAAATGGCCCCAAGAGTGAAATATGAAGAAAGCAGACAAGAAAATGAACATCACGCCTGTAATCCCAGCACTCAGGAGGCAAAGGCAGGAAGATTTCTGAGAGGCTGCAAGCCAGCCTAGGCTACAGAGTGAGACCCCCAAAATCTTGTCTTGGAATATTTGGTTCAGCTATGTAGAGATGGGCTAAATTTGTTTATGGTACGGAATATTGCTCTAACTGTGTAAAGGCGTGTTACATTTGCTTGACAATGTAAGGGTGTGTGCTTAGTTATGTAAAGATGAGTTGCATTTGCTTCCCCTTGACTGCCTAAGGCACCTGATTGGTCTAATAAAAAACGGAATGGCCAATAGCTAGGCAGAGAGAGGGAGGGATAGATGGGGCTGGTAGGCCGAGAGGATAAATAGGAGAAATTTAGGCTTGAGAAAAGCAAAACAAGAGACAGGAGAAGAGAGGGACGTGCCTGGGGCCAGAAGCCAGGCAGCTGACAGCCAGCAGACAGGGGAAGCAGTGGAATCAAGATGTACAGAAAGAAAGAAAAAGGAAAAAGCCCGAGGCAAAGGTAGATAAAGAGAAACAGGTTAATGTAAGTTAAAAGAGCCAGCCAGCAGTGAGCCCAAACTAGGTCGAGCATTCAAATCTGTTAATAAGTCTCTGTGTCATGGTTTGGGAGCTGGTTGGTGGTCCAAAAGAAAAAGCCTGGGACACTTGTCCAACAAATCAAAGCAAACAAATACATAGCACCTAGAATGCACAAAGCCCTGGGTTTGATCTGCAGCAATGCACAAAACACCACAGTAGCTCACACCTGTAATCCCAGCCCTTGGAAGGGACAGGCATGAGGATCAGAAACTTAAGATCATCTTGGAAGTCAGGCTGGGTCACAAGATACTTTGTAACAAAACAAAACCACATACACTCCCTAACAGGCAAAAGGAGATGACGGAAAAGAGTGTGTACACCGGACAGATGTTGAGGAATTTTTCAGTCTTTACATTTTGAGGGGGGAAGGTCTATAAATCTTGATGTGTCCCTGAATAGATTGGGTCAGGAACATGATGTCAGGGTGACTGATGTTTGCGACGGTGGTGCAAGTGGAATGAACAGTAGCTTCCGTGGAACCCTGTTGGGCTGTCACTGCAGGATGACATTTCGAGAGGGGTGCTGTGTGCACCTGCCAGTGGGATATGGCTACTGACGAGATGAGCGAGCCAGAGGATGGCTCCAAACTAATAATCAACTGATACGCGACCAGCAAAACCGGCATTTTATCTAAGTCCCTTTTATTGCTTTCACAAAAAGCATACTTCCAAAGGACACGGCACCAAACTGAACAACTGCGACACTCCAGCACTGCCGATATGCAGGTTTTCATGCTGTGTCTCCTCCCTCCCCCTTCTTTCTTCCTCCCTCCCTCCCTCCTCTTCCATTTACCTTTCCCTTCCCTCTCTCTCTCCCTTCCTCTCTCTTATTCCTTAAGCCCTCTCACTCAGTCTGGAAGGTTGTTTGACAATTTTGGTGAAGAGGAGTGAAAAGATGACGTATTTGGAATAGTCGTTAATCTCTGCTCTTTACTCCTGACCTTTCTGGGCGTTTGTTTTCTATAAGGATCCCTATTTACCTATTTCAGGGTCACGAATCCAATTCCAACCTTCCAGTACATATCGATTAACATTAACAGAGTGCCCAAAGGGTGTGTGGCTATTTTCTAGGTGGTGTGAGGGAAACTGTCAATTGATTTCTCTCTCTCTTTTTTTAAAAAATATTTATTTATTTATTTATGTGCGTTGGTGTTTTTCCTGCATATATGTCTGTGTGAGGATGCATGATTCCCTGGAACTGGAGTTATAGACAGCTGTGAGCTGCCATGTGGGTGCTGGGAATTGAACCTGGGTCCTCTGGAAGAGCAGCCAATGCTGTTAATCCCTGGGCTGTCTCTCCAGTCCTTGACATTTCTCTTAACGGGCATTAAGTCATACATTTCCTACTGGGTCCCACAGAAAGTCGAGTATTTACCAGAAGTCAGTTGTATTGCTAACTCCCAACCAGCATGGCTGACTATATTTGGATAGGGAAGGTAAAACGGTCTGTGAAATAAGCAGGCTACGATGGCGGGATTAGACATTGTGAAGGGACTTGATTTCTTGTGCTAGGCATTTACTAATTGTGAAACAGACCTTACTTGCACGCTTGCCTAGAGCACAGGTTTCTAGTCTCAAAGACTGAACCAAAACAAAATATGTCTCCCAGAAACAACTGCAAAAAAAAAAAAAAAATGATGATTGGCTCTAAGGGAACAATTAACAAACAAATCTGCAAGCAAGCGGATCCACTCCAACCTACTTATCTTAGGGACTCTGGTGTGGAACTGAATACAAATGTCTCATTCAGCCTATGTAAGCGTTTGCATTTCTAAAACTGGGATGTTACCTGCTCAGCTCATCGGCTTCTTGTCGAAGGTTGGACGCATGGTCCACAGCTTCTTGCACTAAGTCATGACTGAGGTTACTTAGGTTGGATAGTTTTCCTTGCAGCTCGTTTTTGGCTCCATCTATTTCTGCATAGATTCCAGATGCATTCTAAAGGAAAACAAATTGACGAGTTTAGAGAAATGTACAGCAGTTTCTCCAGATAACAATGAAATCGATCATTTTCCTTCTTGTCAATTTCAGACCTGAATTACTGTAAGGAGGATTTGTGTACTCCTACACTTCACCCCCCTTCTCTATGGATTGCTTCCTCATCATTCAGACATGTTCAATTTCCTTTTGAAAACAAAAACTGAACACACAGCTTCTGTTACCCACACATCCTGTTAGTATTCCACCTTTCGATTCCCTTCTTAGCAAATCTCTCTGGGGGAATTTACTGGTAGGGAGCCTTGCTTTCCAGCATCTAATTTTAAACAAGCTGGCAAATATATAATACAGAGTCCAAGCATGTTGCCTTATATATCTGTGAGCTGAGATGAAAGCATACCTTCTGATCTCAGCCGACTGGTAACTGAAACTTAGTCCAAGAAGTACAGTTAGTCTACCTGGTCAGGCAGTGTGAGCGTCATGGGCCCTTGTGCCCGAAGAGTTTCCTTACAGAAGAACACAAGAAAGTGGGCCTTCTGCCCAAAGCTTCCATCCAAGAAGAGGGTAGAGCTGAACAGCTCCTGTACAAGACTTTTTCCTAAATTTATCAATAAAGAAAAAATTTTCCCTTCTCACAGGGCACAGGTGAGGAGAGGGTCTAGCAAGGTTTGCAGAGTGGCCAATATTTCCCTAGGAGCTGAGTCTGATAAAAATCAGTCTTCACCATCTTGCAGGAATGGTGATGATTTCCCTTCCCAGACTCAGCCCATTGCTTTTTCCATTGTAGCTCTGCTCTTGTCTGGTTTTTCTCTGCTTATTTAATATTTTTTCTCCACTAGATCTCATAGATCACCCTTGTCCAATGGGTTGTCTTAATGCTGTATATATATTTTTTCTGACCACTGTTCATGCTATTTCCTGGATCTGGAATAACTTGCCTCTCAGAACCTATTTGGGGTTCTACTCATCCCTCTGAATTCAGCTCAAATATTACTCCCATTCTGTAGCAATTCCTAACTGCTTGGGTGAGCTCATGTTTCCACAGGTCTGTTATCCATGCTACACTACTGTAATCATTATATATGGCCCTCACTACTGTAATCATTGCATGACTACTCACTCATGATGTTACAAACACCTACATGACATTACAAACTCTTACATGATATAACAAACTCTTTTTTTATTTAAAAAGCTGCATGCATATTTATTTTGCTTTCTGACTCTTTGCTTGTGCCTTCAACACTTTCACAACAATTTTCTGCTCCTCGATAAGGAAAGGCCGCTTGATCCTGTCTCGGACACACTTGTCACACAAGGAGCCGCCGTAGGCCCTGCTGACATGCTTCTTTGTCTTAGTCTCATAAGGACTTGGTCTGTCAGCATGAACCCCTCGAAGTCTGACTGGGCACACACCGCATGCAGATTTAGGTGCTTTTCCAACCTTCTTGGTATAAAGGTAAACGATCCTGTTGCCAGGGGTTCGAGACAGCCTAGTTTTGTTAGAGGCTATGTTGTAGGAAAGCCTACGTGGGTATGTCAGACGCTGGACCATTCTGAGCACCCTCACGGAAGCCGCAGCACTGTCCCCCAAGTCGTCCCACCCGCCTGACTCCTCTGATGGCTGCGGGTTGTAAACAGGGCAAACACGGAGCAGAAGCAACGTCCCAGGAAGAGCGATATAACAAACTCTTAAGAATCAGGAACTGAGTTGAACTGCGTTTTATTTCTCTAGACTGGAGCACAGTTTCTAACACATGAGATTTATTTCTTAGAGATTATATTAGGCCTTTAGCCATTTGGCTGGTCACATTGGTTTGAATTATATAAACAGAAAAATATCACAGGCAGTCCATCTTTCCTCATTATCTCATTATTATTTTAACAAATGTCCACTGTGTGCCCAGTGCATGCCCAGCACTCCCGGAGAGGAGAACAGTTGTTGTTTTCAAGGCCGCAGATGAGGGATGGCACGGACAGTTAGCAATGATCACATAAGTGGACAAGGGCGGGGGGTACAGACAGCAATGATAACATACGTGGACAAGGGTGGGGGGCACGGGCAGTTAGTGATGATCACATAAGTGGGTGAGCTAATTGTAAAAAGCAAAAGATATTTTGAACAAAATGTACATGTAGCATGGGGTGCATAGTGGTTGGGGGTACAGGGACCTCTTGGATTAAACTGTCACAAAGATATGAGGTCATTTGATGATCTAGGGGCAATAGGTGAGGAGACCTTGAAGGAGGACTCTAATTGACATTTGTGAAAGTGAGTTTGCCGAGCTGCTGAGTAGCCAGTGAGGAGCAGAACGTTAAAGTACCAGGTCAGACAGGTAGGTGAGCCAGGTCACGTGGTGCCTCCTGGACATGGTTGGAGAAACCATATTTTGATTATGCTTTAATATGACTTTTCTTCTAATGGTTTGGGGATGTGTCTAGGAGGGTCATGGTGTGGCTAACACATCTGTTAGCAGCCTTCTCCATCACTTCACAAGGGGCACCAGGTTGTTAGAAACATAGGGCAGCAGCAGAGATGAGAAAGTGGCAGGAAGCTAGGGTTCACACACAGCCAGTCCGTCTTGGTAAAATGTCACCCGAAGAAAGGAGAACTCAGGAATGACTTGGGAATTTGGACATGAACTGGTGGGAGCTGCCCTTTACTGAGATGGGGAAGGGGGAGGAAGTAGCTCTTATTCAGAATACTTGAGGTTTGGTGTGCTTATTTATTATACAGTAGATGAAACTTGAGATTTTGTAACACGGAACCCTGCCTTCCGAATTGTCTACAAAGGTTTGGGCAGTTGGGTCAGACATGCACTGTAAATGGAGTCGTCTGCATAACTATTCTTTATGGGAGCCAATGACTCAGCTAGGAGAGACTAGGGTAAAAAGGGGGGCTTCAAACCGAGCTAAGCCACTCACTCTACAGAGCAGAGACCAGTACACCTCAGACCCAGGTCCAGCTCAAAACCTTTTGACACAGCCTGAGCTAAGAATATATCTCTCACATTTGAAGGGTTGTTTAACAATAGCAACCATAGGAAAGGGCAGAAGCAGTATGTGGTCTGCACTGATGTAGTTACCATACAGAGGATGCAGAGAGCTGCATCAGTGGAGAGTCCTGGGATCCCATGCAGACTGGGTAGAGCTAGTAGACAGTGGGGGCTGGAGGGCAAAACAGCTGTGACTTGAGACATCATTTTTCTATGATGCTGAATAGAGTAATGGGGCAAAGATTAGGAGGGACTTCAAGGTTTTTTGTTTTTGCCAGCAATAGCTTTTTCAAAGGGCACATCTCTCTCTCCTTCCCTTTTTCCCTCCCTTCCTCCTCCACTCCCCCCCACCGCCCCCGTCTCTTTCTCTGTGTTTAAAAGATAGGAGATACCAGAGCAAGAAGAGATCCAACAAAGCATAAGAACTAGGAGACTGGAGAACAAAAGCCCTGCAACCATGTGTCCAGGGGAGGGGAGGGCAGGGTTCCATGTGTCCAGGGTAGGGGAGGACAGGGTTCCATGTGTCCAGTGCCTACAGGCTTTGCCTTTTACTCTTCTCTCCCTTGCTAAAAGCAGTTAGATTACATTCCTAAAGCTAACCCTCAAGGTCCATGCCACTGACTCATTCCTGAGACAAAACACACCATGGCCCAAGAATCAAAATTCATTACTTGGTTAATGTGTCCAATCAGGAATTACTGGCTCACCCTAGCGCAGATTCTCCATTTTTCTCCTTAAACAGCCTGGTCCTACCAGCTTGGAGCTTGCTGCTGACTGCTGCTGCTGCTGCTGCTGCTGCTGCTGTTGCAGTTGCAGTCCGGTGCCCCTCCCCCCAAGGAGGCTAATAAACCTTTGTGCGGAGAATTTAGTGTCTGGGTTTGTTCTGTATTGGCTCTCAGGGGCAACCTCCCTTACAGACAGGTTTCTTACAAAGCACATTTAGCTGCTTGGGAACAGCTATGATACTGGGGACCCAGGGTTAGAATCTGTACGCAAATAAACAGGAACAGGTATACCTGGAAGTTCAAGGTATTTTCCAGGAATAATTAGATTGATAATTTCAGTTGGTTAAGAAGAAAAGAAAGGAGGCAGAGGTACAGGATAAATGAGGGGGGTTGATGTGGTTGGAGAATTGTTGGCCTGGGTGTTCTAGATTAAGTGAGATAAGAGAACAAAGTGGTCAAGACCATGCTAGGGAAACCCACAGCTGACCTGAACAAATGGGAGCTCATGGACCCCAGTCTGACAGTTGGGGAACCAACATAGGACCGAACCAGGCCCCCTGAAAGTGGTGTCAGTTAGGAGGCCTGGGCAGTCTATAGGGCCTCTAGCGGTGGAACCAGCGTTTGTTACTAGTGCACAAACAGACTTGGTGGAAGGGGGGACAGCCTAGATACACGGGGGAGGGCCTAGGCCCTGGCCCAAATGACTTGACAGACTTTGGTGATCCCTCATGGAAGGCCTCACCCTCCCTGGGGAGTGGATGGGGGATGGGATGGGGAGGTCGGTGGGGGGGCATACTGCTTCTAATTTAAATTATATATAATATATATAATATATATGTTATATATATATATATATATATATATATATATATATATATATATAGAGAGAGAGAGAGAGAGAGAGAGTTGAGCAAGGGAGGGTTTGAGCTGGATTTAGGAGAAGGTAAGCTCCTGGATAGTGAAGATCTGGGTGTAGCCCTACAAGGGACAATAGTAGTGGTCTGGAGGAAAAGACTGGAGAGAGTGGGTGGGCTCATCCTCATGGATTTTGACATCATTAGGAGTAGTGATGGGAGCTAGGTTGGAGAAGGTAGGGACTTAGGGACTTAAGTAGCTGAAGAAGAATGAGATTGTCTTAGTCTGATGTCCTTCACAGGTTAAAAAAAAAGCAAGACCAAAAAATAAAAACAAAAACAGCCCTCCCCCAACAAGTACAGTCATTGATTTCAAGATAGTATCATTCATTGCAATTCATTGGAAATTTTCTATTTAAAAACGCATGCCTTCTTATAGAGTTTTGAATGATGGCTTTAAAAAAAATCAGTCTTTAGGTTGGCATACAAAGTAATTGGCTCAACTATGGCATTTTCACACATATTTGCTGCTAGATTTTCTTTGTATTTATTGTCCTCCCCTGCTGCCCTCCTCTGTGATCTTGTCTGTATCTGGCTGGTTCCTTCCTTCCCCCAGATGGTCTTCCATTCCTCAGTCCTATTACACGCATTCCCCCAGAGATTTCATTTCCTCCACCTTAAGATCTCCTCCTCTCTTCTCATAATCCCCTTTCCACATGTACATAAACACACATACATATAATTGTAAATCTGGGTTCCACAAATAAGAGAAAACATCTGGTATTTGTCTTTCTGAGTCGGGATTATTCCATTTAATACAGTAGTCTCTAGTTCTAGACATTCTCTTGCAAACATCACAATCTCATTTTTCTTTATTTCTTTATCTAGTCAACTATTGATGGACATCTAGGTTAGTTTCATTTCTTATCTATTATGAATAATTCAGAATGGGCAAGGATCTCTGGGCTATGTTGACTTAGGATATAAGTGAATATACCAAACAGTGGTATAGCTGGGTCATATGGTAGTTCTACTCCACAGTGACTGCACAAGGTTACATTCCCAACTGGCAGTGCATAAAGGTTCATCTTTCCTTACATCTGACCTGCATTTGTTTTCTTAATTATAGCTATTTTAATCGGCATGAATGGATTCTCAAAGTGGCTTTAATTTGCACTCCCTGATAGTAAAGAACATTGAACACTCTTTCCAAGTATGTATTAGCTGTGCGTATTTCTTCTTTTGAGGATTGTCTATTCCGTTCATTAGTTTATTTACTGATTGTATGATTTGGCTTGTTAAATAACTTTCTAGGTAGAGTGAATAGGATGGAACTACACCAGTACTTTTAGTAGATTTTACTGTGACCATATCTCCATATCTATACCATCAGAGCTGCTAGCCGCATGTAGCTCTTGAGGATATGAAATGGAGTTGAATTTCTGACTTTATGAAATTGAAATTTAAGTAGCTGTGTGTGTTAGAAGCTACTGTGCAATAAAAGAAACTAGAGATTCCCATTACTTGATATTATTTTACAATCCTACTAACTTGAATTCAGTTTGATTACTCTGACACTGAACTGCTGTTCAGAATTGCTATAAAGGCCAGACTGAGCAATCCAGGTATGTGCTTACCTTTATTATCTCATCAAGTTCCTCAAGAGTCAGCTGAGGTATCATCAGAGAGTCTGCAGACATGCTCAGAGAGGCGCTTACAATTTCTATCTGTTCCTTCACTCTCTCTTGTTGTTTCTGAGGGAAGGAAAAACAAAGGATAGAGAATGTGATTGTATACCATATAAATAAAGTGAGGGACAAAAACTATACAATCCTATCATTGGATGTAGAAAAGGCCTTTGACAAAATCCAACATCCATTCATGATAAAAGTCCTGGAGAGATTAGGGCTACAAGGGACATATCTCAACTAATAAAGGCACTTATAGCAAGCCAATATAAACTTAAATGGAAGCTCAAAG